GTGTGTGTGTGTGTGTGTGCGAGTGAGTGAGTGAGTGTGTGAGTGAGTGTGTGTGAGTGAGTGAGTGTGTGTGAGTGAGTGTGTGTTAATGACGCGAGCAGCAGCAGCAGCAGTGTGGACTGGAGAAATATAAATATCCAGTGACCCAGTTAGCGCAGAGGGAGTCTGCAGTGGAATTGTGTGTAGGATGAGGTCCGGCGCATCCTCACTGATCCCAGTTGTTGTCATAGTAACAGACTGTATTTAATGGCAGCAGATTGATAAGTGCTGAAGGTCACTGAGGTTTGCTGTGGTTTACTCTTGTTAATGTCTTAATCACACAGTGTGAGAATATCTGCTAAACACTCAGAACGTCCACAGGAATCTGCTGTGCCATAGAATGCAGCGCTCCTCGTCTGAGGATGAGAACAGCTCCCATTTGAACCGCAACTAACTAATTACGGTAATTCTGTCGTGACATGAACGCAGCATTAGTGCGATTACAAGACCTACTCACAGTGGGGCCATTTATGTTTTGTGTGGATTATTTTTACATATTTAATTTATTATTTTAATTATTTACATTATTATAATTATTATTTTAAAACTTACTTTAAAGCTTAATTATTACTTTGTAACTTATTTATTTTGTATTTGTAATTTTTAAAAAATTATTTATTTATTTATTGATTTTTTGCATTTATTGGCACAGGACAATAAAGAGAATTGACAAGAAGCAAACTATCTTGGTGTTTATTTTATATTTGTGTTTTATTTTTATTCATTTAGTATTTATTTGTATCCTAGTTTATATTTTCTTTGATCAGTATTGCTGTAGATAGAGCTGTTTTTGAGGGTGAGATTGATTAGTTTGTAACTGCTTTGTTCACATCACGCCACAGTTACTGTAGCCTGATCATCTGTTTCTCTCAGAGCGAGTCTATACTTGAGGAGACCTTTGAAGTACTTCATGAATTATTGTTTGTTTGTGAATGAGATGCAGTGAACTGCACATGAAGGTGTCATAGGTGAGGTGTGATGCTGCCGGTAAGATGTTTACAGCCAGTAAATGAACAAAAAAATTAAGAGTCAAGTTAACACAAGAATGGGACAGGTTTTTTTTGTTAGTAGTACATAAGAGAATTAATAAAAAGAAAAAGTCAAAAATAAAGTTAATCTTTGTCAAAAGTTTTACATTTTGCTGGCTTTGATTTGACTGATGCAGTCAGGAATCCTCTCTCAATGTGTGTGAGACACTAACAGCATCAACACAACAGAGAAGAGAGAATCAACCTGTTACTTTTCTTAAAAGATACAATGTAACATAAATTGTTCTATTATGAGCGTTATTTAATGAGCAGGCGTGTAAAGTATTACTATTAAAAATAAGGCATCTCACAAGGGTTTGGAGTGTGTGTGTGTGTGTGTGTGTGTGTGTGTGTGTGCGTGTTTTTGTGACATATGAGGACACAAATTTGTATAATGACATGGGTATGACAGGTATTACAAGGAGAAGGTGATTTATGAGGACATTGCCCCATATTTCAAAAGGCTTATAAATCATACAGAATGAGTTGTTTTGAGAAAGTAAAAATGCAGAAAGTTTCCTGTGAGGGGTAGGTTTAGGGGTAGGGTTGGTGTAGGGCAATAGAAAATACGGTCTGTACAGTATAAAAACCATGACGCCTATGGAGAGTCCCCACAATTCACAAAAACAAACCTGTGTGTGTGTGTGTGTGTGTGTGTGTGTGTGTGTGTGTGTGTGCGGTGTGTAACAGCAGAGCGGCTGATGGTGATGGTGGTTTAGTATGCGGTTGTGGATGTTGTATATTGGATGTGGTCAGTGTGAGGACTGTGTTTGCTGTGTGTCAGTGTGAGAGAATCTCATGAGGAGCTCAGCGTGAGATCTCTGCCTTCATCACATCACCGTCACAATCAGACCTGTATTTCCAGTAACACAAAACGAGCAGTTGCATTTGAAATGACACCGCTGATAAAAAGCAAAGCGTTTCCTCCGCACAAAATGAGGATTTCACTTTCCAAGATAAGACTCTTGTGAAACGAGAGAATAAAACGCCTCTGATGTGTTTCATAAACGCTGTGAGGCTGTTTCTCCCTCACAAACACTCGCTCAGACTCACGCCGATCTCAAATATAACAGAAACCAGGGGTGTAAAAATTAGACCAGTGAAAATAAATGACAGAAGTGAAAGTAGGGAGAGAAATTCTCAATATTCACTTACATGTACAAGTACTGTATATTGCCAAAAACAGGCTTGAGTGAAAGTAAAGAAGTACAACTTGAAATTGTACTCAAGTGTTGCAACAGCAGAAGTAATCTACAAAGAGTAACAAGTGTTTTACCAACAAATAGCTTTCACAATGCTTCCCCATTTTATTAATCACAGTTCATTCTGTATTATTGTATTACATTTTCTGAAATGTTGTGGTTAAAAATGCACCAATTGCATTCATTTCAGAACATTATTCTAAACATTGGATAAAGTCAGGCTCATAATTCTTGATTGATTTTTTTGACATATTGGAGTTCAAGTTTTTTTTTTTTTCAGAGGGGATTTAGGATTTCTCTATTTATCACTCTATAAATCAGAAAACTCCGAAAAAATCAGAAAAAGACTCTCAACAGACAGAAAAAAATCAAATTTTTTGAAATAAAATGCTAGATATAAACCCGTGTGAATGATATATGAACAAACCCCTCAGTAAAAACCTTCAGAATATAGAGATGAATAAAACTGCTAAGTTTGGTCTTGTTGTAAGTGAAACTACAAGTATACAGTTTAAATTGCAATTGAGTGAAGTACAAATTGGCCAAAATAATATTTATGTACAGTAATCAAGTAAAACGTATTTTACACCCCTGAAAGAAACCATCATCGTCAGAGCCCATAAACACACACATACGTGATCATATTAATGTGTTTCGGTGTTTGAGGAGCGAGACGAGCCCCTGTGGTCCAGCACTGATGCTCAGTGTAGAATCGGGATGTTGAAGCAGAACCAGCGGACGGATCCATTGCTCAATGCTCAATGTATTTACATTCAATCCAGGCTTATTTGATCTGGCTAATAGCGCCGAGGTGCTGTAAGCGAACGCTGGGTAGGGATGCATGCGGGGATTTTGATTAGATCATTTGCAGTCGAGCTGCAGGAGCAATTAAGAGGCAGTCGCTCTGCTACGAGTGACTTCATTAAAGAGAGAGAGGAAAGATGGCTGCAGCTAATGAAAGAACTGACAAGTTTGATTTCACTATGACGCCAACTCTCACTCAGAGAGAGAACGAGGGGTGGTTGATCTCCGCCGCGACGCAGGCAGACGTATCGCTGTGGTTTTCGCTCTCGATGCATGTTTAGGTCCTCATGTATCTACAAATGAAATGGGTTCGATGTGATGCTGTGAATCACAGCGCTCAAGAACGTTTGATCATTTGACCCCATACAGAAAACGTCTTCCTGGAGTCTCGCTGTTTGATGTTCAGCAGGACTGTTTGTCGATCCAATACGCTGATATGGAAATGTTCTTATGCATTTTTAATGAGAACGACGATGGTTGCTTTTCCACGTTCACAAAGACACTTTAATGCACTGTAATTATCCAGAAGTAACATTCAACCTCTAAAATGACTCATAAATATGTTTAACTCATGTTTAAAACACATGGTAACCAGAGCTTGCTTGACTTTCTAACCTCCAAACCATGTTTAAAGCCTTGAGGGTGTTAAATCTGATTTTAAAGGCGTTCTCTCTAACCTCTAATCTTTAACCTTTGACCTTCCAGATTGTAACCTGTTGAATTTGTTTGTTCTTCAAAGGGAGCTTTGATAGTGAACGGCTGGCTATTGCTAGGCAAAGAATCCCGTACCGACTCGGTCGGGTAGTTGACGAGTGGCTACTCGACAAAGGTAATTAAACAGCACCAAACCCCACTAACGAACGGTCTGTCTAATCACGCTAAACACATCTCTGGAGGAAGTGCAGGCCCACGGCGAGCATGCGAAAAGCAGAAGCGAGATTTAGCAAAATTTCTAGTGTCTTACTACTCTTCATTCGTAGTTTGCACCTGAAGAAGTGTGCATTACATTTGTGAAATACTCAGACTAATCAGAACGCTGCGCTCTTCAGACCTGTCATCTGACGATGGGACTGCACTTCTCCAGAGTATTAACCTTACCAAAAACCCCCACATAACCCTCCCTTAACCTCCCAACAACACGCACAGCTGTTTACTGTTGTGAAACGTCCTATCGAGCAGAAACTGATTCACAACAGTTCAAATAATCTAAACTGCACAGTTAAAGGGACTCTATTTCAGTGCCTCTGTTTCATCTTCGCTCTCGTCGTTCTAAATTGATTCCAACTTTAACCCTTTGAGTCCAGAAGCTCTTAACTAACTGTCTCATATGAGTTTCCTGGTAATTCACTTCCGGCAAAAACTCCAGTACAGTCGTTCTTTTAGCTTTGATTAGCACATCTTTCTGTTGCACACACAGGTATTTTGTTGGATTTTGATGCAAGAATCAATTTTGATGCAGCATGAAAAAATACTACATGTGGGCAATTTGAACTATTTAAAAGTTCCAGCCTACTGCTGAAACTGATGCTTATTTACTGCTGAAAGTGATGTTCTTCCTCTGTATTTTTGTCTTGCTTTCCAGCACAAACCTCTAGACATTTTTAAATCAAGGAACATTTCTAGTTTTGGCCAAAATAATAGATCATTTTCATGAGCTGAGATCTTTTAGTCTGCTGTTTTCAGTTGATGCATGAGCAGACCTTCACTAAACATTATTTGTAGAGCACCAATAATCTTTATGTTTTGTTACTTTTAACAAGAAACAAAGTCTCAGCTTACAAATTCTGGCAGTATTATCACTAAATTCAAACAATAAATGATGTTTTGTGGCTCTTTAATGTGTGGCGACAGATCACTGATCCTCTCTTGCTCTTTACTACTAGTTACAGCAGCAAATAAACATGATGAAACATCAGAAACAAAACAACTTACTGAAATCGATCATGAATCATAGAAGCCACTAATCAGTGATTCAGTCAATCAAGATACATTTACTTGAGATGCTAAATGACAGAGGTCTTGTTTTCTCAGAAACTGTTCAAAGTTACCAATAAATATCTGCCAAATGAGTTTAAAAAATAAACTTAATTCAAAGGGACAACCTGTGTTTTTTTGACGTCATTGCCAGCTGCTTGTTTTTAATTTGGATCAATTTCTCAGAAAATAAGACTTCTTACCTTCTGCCATTTTAGATCCTCAGTAAATGTATCTTGATTTAAGGATGCTTTGATGTTTGTGCTGAAAAACAAGACAAAAACACTCAGGAAGAACTTCACTTTCTGCAGTGTGGGCAAAAGTTCATAAAGTTTCATGAGGAAATATAAAACAGACATTTATATTGATATAATAAAACTGCTGACAGGATGCTGTCAGTAGATCTTAAGGTTAACCTGTCCCTTTCTGTAAAAGAGCTGGAAGTGGCCGACGTGAGTAAGAATATCAGATTAGAGGACAGTCTGTCAACTCAAAGGGTTAAAGGAGTTTGAGTGTTAACCGACAGGGAAAACGTAAAGGTTAAGCAGAATTTAACCAACCGTTCTTCTAAACCCTGAGGGCCGCCGCTCTTCTCCTCTTCAGCCGGCAGGATTTAGTTTTCATTGGATTAGATTCAGTTGAAGCCCTCAGTCATAAACCTGATTCTAAACTCACATAACTGAATGAACGCATATCTGATGAAGAATTAGTCAAAGCAGATGAACCGTCTAAACAGAACGCAAACTAACCCGCACGTAACGCTTGAATGAAACTCAGAGGGTTAAACACTGAACAATATTTGTGATTCATGAGCAAACGCTCTGCTCATTGTTCTGTAGCATTTGCAGAGAGAATACGGTCCCTTTAACATTTACACGTCTGACAGTCAATGATGAAGCAATGATGTGTTGATTTACTGTGTGAAGCGTCATGTGTTTATCTGCGAGTGCAGTTTGGACTATGAACTCATGAACTCAAGATCAGTCATTAATTCCTGCTCTTATTGAGGATGAACCATCAGTGACGTTATTCTAAAGAAATAAATCATTTTTGCTAGTCCCCATAATCATGCAGGAAAATGTTAAATTAAGGCAAAATGCTACAGGCAAAACTATTGTTTTTTTTTTATTATTTTTTTTTTTTAGTTTAGTTTTGATATTTTAGGCAACTTTAATTCAGTGAAATGTAGTGAATTTAGTGGAAAGAAAACACCCAAATTACACATCTAATTGTTTATTTCATTACACTTTTATCTATTTGCATCTGTATATTTCAATTACAATCCATACCTTTAAAAGTTTTATCTCCACTTGAGCAGCACTTACAGACACCAAACTTAGCAGTTTTATTCCTCTCTATATTCTGAAGGATTTTACTGTGGGGTTTGTTGATATATCATTCACATGAGTTTTTATAACATTTTATTCCTAAAAAACATGGCGAGAATGTATTTTTTCTGTCTGTTAACAGTATTTTCTGATTTATGGAGTGATAAAAAGAAAAATATAAAATCCCCTCAGTAAAAACCTTTAGCTCTAATATGTCAACAAAATTGAACAAGAATTATGAACCTGACTTTAGATTTCTGTTCTGGACATTTCTGCAAATTAGTGCATATTTAACATATTTTAAACATAATATTTGATAAAACTTGTAATACAAAAGCAGTTGTTTTAATATACTGTGATTCTTTAACTGGGGGAAGTATGGTGATATCTATTCGGTTTTTTTTCCCCCCTATTCACCTGTAGTGTCTTGTTTTAAAACAAAAAAACAATTAAAGTCCTGACTATGTCTGTATAACATTATAGAAATGATTATGATGACAATGATCATTATAAAATGAGTTGTGAATGAGTTTGATGTGGACTGGAGAGGGTAATGAGGACAGTCCAGACTGCACCGGGTCCGTCACAGCACTCTAGGATTCATGTGGAAAAGGCCAGTGAATGTGTGAGAACGACTCTCTCTCTCTCATCTGACGTTGAGTTAGATCAGACAGCATTCTCGAGCGGCGATGGTGTCAGTGTTATAAATTCAGGATGGCAGCACCTCCACAGCTCAATGAAGAGGAAAAAAAGGGTTTAACAGCTCAATTCCAGCAGAAGCCGTTCAGAGCCTCGGTTTTTCTCCCTCGTCCTCTCGCTGGCGTTCATCACGCTCTAAACGTCCCCTATGACTTTCCATCATTTCCTCTTCTCCTGTATCCGATGCTCCTCCATCTCCCGTTTTTTTATTGTAGAGCCGACGCCGCTGCGAGAGACGCAGTCAGAGATTACAAATAACCGCAGTGCATTGATTTCTTTTGTGCTGTTTATTTCGGTTCCTGAAGAAAGACCTCAGCAGGGAAATGCGAGCGCTGAACACATTTGTTTTACAGCAGAAGCGCGCCCGGCGCTGCTACTAAATCACTGCGCTTGGGCTCTGTTTGAACACTTTCTCACTTTTAAATGACTCCAGAGAGAAGAAACACAGGCTTTTCTATTAGACAACAGAGAATCTTGGAGAAAAGCTTGTGGGTTTCCACACAGACTCCTGCAGAAACATGTGAGATTCTCACCGGACTCTCTCTTCATCCTGACAGAGGTGATGGAGGAAAACTTCAGTTCAGTGTTAATGAAAGTCAGTTTTGGTTTGTGTTTGTGTCACAGCTCCAGTGAAGTCCATCACAGATCAGATGCACACACACACACACAAACACACACACATATATATATATATATATATATATATATATATATACTAGTGGTGCACTGAAATTATGGCAGCTGAAAAAGTATTTCTGGTTTTGGCCAAAATAATAGATCATTTTGATGAGCCGAGATCTTTTATTCTGCTGTTTTCAATTGATGCATGAGCAGACCTTCACTAAACATTATTTGTAGAGATTTGTTTTGTTACTTTTAATATGAAACAAAGTCTCATCTTACACATTCTGTCAGTTTTATCACTAAATTCAAACAGTAAACATGATTTTGTGGCTCTTTAATGTGTGGCGTCAGATCACTGATCATCTCTTCCTCTTTACTACTAGTTACAGCAGCAAATAAACATGATGAAACATCAGAAACAGAACAACTTACTGAAATCGATCATGAATCATAGAAGCCACTAATCAGTGATTCAACCACAGAAATAAGTCAATAAAACAGCTTGAGATCAATAATGTCACATTTACCACAGAAAAGACATTCAATCACCATAAACTCCATAATCAGCTAGACAAATAATTAATATATTAATTTTAAATAAATAATTTCCCACAATATATGCACTATATTTCATATTCATTATATTTTACTGAACCTGTTCTTCAGTATTTAATGCATGTTTGAATATGTCATGAAAACATGTTTTTTACAGCTGGCATTTAAATGTTTGTATCTCAACAACAAATTAATATACCATTAAAAGTTGATATAAAAACTGCCTTGTGTGCAATTGAAATGTTTATTTATTTGAATAATTCATTGATTACTAAACAAATATTATTTTCTGTTTTCAGTTAAGTGAAAACTTAAATTTCGATTTTGGTTACAAAATTAATTTCAGTGCATCACTAATACAGACATCTTTTATACATTTTACATAATAAAGACTTCTTGAGGATGGACTTTACCTGGCAACCACCCAGAACTGTATAATGATGCTTTAAAAGCCACCATAGCAACAACCTGTGACCCCGGCAACTGCTCATATTCCCTTCATCTGTGTGTTGTTGAGGAGGAAACATCTCAGAAGAAGCAGACGCAGCAGAAGCATGTGAGCAGAGGAAACTTTCTTACCAGAACTTCAGTTTCACTACCTTCATGCCTGCTGGTGAAGGACACGGGTCACCAGATCAAACACCCACTCCAGTGCTCTGGATCAGAGGAGATGACCTCACACACACACACTCACACACACACACAAACACACACACTCTCTAACACACACACATACACTCTAACACACACACACACACACTCTAGCAAACACACATACACTCTAACACACACACATACACTCTAACACACACACACTCTCACACACTCTAACACACACACTCTAACACACACACACACACACACTCTCTCTCACACACACACACACGCACTCTAACACACACACATACTCACACACACACACTCTTAACACACACACACACACACACACAAACA